TCCACTACCTGCTCCTCCAAGAGGAGCCAACCTCCACTACCTGCTCCTCCAAGAGGAGCCAACCTCCACTACCTGCTCCTCCAAGAGGAGCCAACCTCCACTACCTGGAGAGCGTGAAGAGATCTTTCACTGCTAGAATCCGCTCACTAAAACATCTAAATTACTAACACCGCTTACAAATTTTTAATGTGTATTCCCTGGAGCGCAGGCGGGAGAGTGGTATAATAATTTACCCTTGGCAAATACTGGAAGACCTGCTTTCAAATCTGCACACGGAACGACCTCCAAACGAAACCACGAAAGACATGTTAAGGACGTAGAAAATATCCCTATTGAGAAGACAACAATGTAATTTGCAACGTGCAAATGGGTCCTCTGATCAACATATCAACAGCAAGACGATTCAACACACTCTCCCTCAACACATAAGGGGGTATAACTGACCGAGCTCTCAACAGTGTTCAAAAGAGAACTTGATGAACACTTTCAAAGGATACCTGCTCGGTCAAGGTGCGTGCACCCGCGTCCAACAGCCTGGTTGACCAGCCTAGTCAAGAGACAGGGCCGCGAGGACGTTGATCCTGTAAAATCATCGAAAGTTATCATAACCTCCTCAAGTGGTTTCGTCAAATAATATTCATCCACAACACTAAATGAGTTTGTTGACCAAACCACGCACTAGAAAGTGAAGAGACGACGACGTTACTCAAGTCGACTGTGTGACAAACAATCGACTTGAGAATGGTCCAGGACGGACCGAATCGTCGTCGTCCCTTCACCTTCTAGTGTGTGGTCTGGTCAACATACTTCAGCCACGTTATTGTGACTCCTCGCCTGCATTAAATGAGTTTGTTCACTTGGCCAATATTCCTTATAGTATTGCATCCCTTCCCTTTGTCTCTTGACTTAGTCTGCCTAGTTTATGACCGTCTTCAGGAGTATATGTGCGTGCGTGTCTACGGGACTGTGCGTGCGTGTCTACGGGACTGTGCGTGCGTGTCTACGGGACTGTGCGTGCGTGTCTACGGGACTGTGCGTGCGTGTCTACGGGACTGTGCGTGCGTGTCTACGGGACTGTGCGTGCGTGTCTACGGGACTGTGCGTGCGTGTCTACGGGACTGTGCGTGCGTGTCTACGGGACTGTGCGTGCGTGTCTACGGGACTGTGCGGGCGTGCACAGGATTGTGCGTGCACAGGACTGTGCGTGCGTGCACAGGACTGTGCGTGCGTGTGACAGAGAAGCCTCTCCAGTACAGTAAAGCAGTTCCGTTGGTTTATTACCAACGGAACGGTTGTCGTCGCCCGGTGGTCATGGGTGGTGACCCCTTGCCACCGACCGACCCAGCGCTCCTCTTGCTATGTCAAGTTTCTGTTCCTTCTGGGGGGAAATGCTGCTACTTCTGTGACAGGTAACTGTTCCTTCTGGGGGGAAATGCTGCTACTTCTGTGGCAGGTAACTGTTCCTTCTGGGGGGAAATGCTGCTACTTCTGTGACAGGTAACTGTTCCTTCTGGGGGAAATGCTGCTACTTCTGTGGCAGGTAACTGTTCCTTCTGGGGGGAAATGCTGCTACTTCTGTGGCAGGTAACTGTTCCTTCTGGGGGGAAATGCTGCTACTTCTGTGGCAGGTAACTGTTCCTTCTGGGGGGAAATGCTGCTACTTCTGTGGCAGGTAACTGTTCCTTCTGGGGGGAAATGCTGCTACTTCTGTGGCAGGTAACTGCTCCTTCTAGGGGTTACGTGCCCCGGGTGCTCCAGCACCTTTGTAATACAGAGACCTGTTGTACTACACTGACCTTCCTGCTTCTGCTGTCACCTTCTGCTGTCACCTTCTGCTGTCACCTTCTGCTGTCTCTCTAATCTGGCGTGTTGAAGTACCTGGTTGATGGGGTTCTGGGAGTCTTCTACTCCCCAAGCCCGGCCCGAGGCCTGGCTCGGTGACTTGTATGGATGCCGGAGCATATTCTCGCGGGTATGCTACTGCCGGTGTTGGGGGTATACTGCTGCTACTCATGTTGACTGCCGCGCCATGCGACAGTGCCAATGAGAGGCACTTACGGGGCTCACAAAGGGCCGCAGTCCGTGGCACCACTCCCGTCCCAACCAGCAACAGTTTTATTAATAAGATATTTCTGTTCCACTGGAGCTCCTCCCTCTCCCGCCGTGGTGATGTGTTCTGTTCCACCGAAGCTCCTCCCTCTCCCACCTACATTCAACATATATCTTCCCCCCCCCCCCTCCCTCTTGAATAATTCCCACATGCGTATGTTTACAACAAAGCAATTTCCTGATCTGCAATTCTCACACAATACACTGGGTAATAGTTCTCTAATGCCGTAAGTATTTCAATGCCCTGGCATTCTTGCAAGAGAAGGGAGGGGGAGAGAGGAACAGAGAGAGAGAGAGAGAGAGGGGGGGGGCAGGCAGGGGAAGGAACAGGGGGAAGGGGGGAGGGGTGATGCAGGTAAAAGGGGGGAAGAGAGGAGAAGGAGGAAGAGGAGGGGGGTGGGACAGGAATGAAAAGGAGCCGAGATGTTGGTTAATACCTTGCAAACCAATTCTTATCAAGCAGAGACATTATCGCGTAACCTGATCTCCGACTCTTGTCTGGCGGGTCAAGTCGGGTAGTTAGCGGGTCACCTCGCCACTGACGTCGGCCACAATGCTTGTCAATTACCCGGCGGAGCCGAGCGGCAGGGAGATGAATCGGGTATCGGGTTCATCTGCCGGCCGTGGGCCCGGGTGCCGTGCATGGATGGGTGGCGGGTTGATGTGATGCCCCCCCCCCCTCCCTCCCCCCTATACCGGGTGGCTGGGGGGGGGAGGTTAAGGGGGGGGGGCATGAGGTAATGTCTATAATTTACAACAGTGGCATTGTTGACCCGACGCGCTGAACACGCCCATCACCTCCTCCTTCTATTGTGTGTGTGTGTGTGTGTGTGTGAGAGAGAGAGAGAGAGAGAGAGAGAGAGAGAGAGAGAGAGAGAGAGAGAGAGAGAGAGAGAGAGAGAGAGAGAGAGAGAGAGAGAGAGAGAGAGAGGATGAGAGAGAGAGAGAGAGAGGATGAGAGAGAGAGAGAGAGAGGATGAGGAGAGAGAGAGAGAGAGAGAGAGAGGATGAGAGAGAGAGAGAGGATGAGAGAGAGAGAGAGAGAGGATGAGAGAGAGAGAGAGAGAGAGAGAGAGAGAGAGAGAGAGAGAGAGAGAGAGACAGACAGAGAGACAGACAGACAGAGAGACAGACAGAGAGAGAGACAGACAGAGACAGACAGAGAGACAGAGAGACAGAGAGAGAGACAGAGAGAGAGACAAGAGAGAGACGAGATCGTACCTGCCTTCTTGATACCTGCTTGATGGGGTTCTGGGAGTTCTTCAACTCCCCCCAAGCCCGGCCCGAGACCAGGCTTGACTTGTGAGAGCTTGGTCCACCAGGCTGTCGCTTGAAGCAACAGCCAACATAGCAGTGCCAGCCAACAGACACTAAGGGGGCATGGCATACCATGAGCTTGAGATGACATAGCATGTCACAACATGACATGACATAGCATGTCACAGCATGACATGACCAACATCATGTCACAGGGGGAGGGGGGGGGACAAGCTGACAACACCCCCCCCCCCTCTTTCCACCTGTTCCAGATGCCGGGGAGCATGAATGCTCCACATGCTCTAAGTGCAAGCATTCATTTAACTAGAGTAACTACTCCATTTCCCATGTCTAAGCTCAATATTTGTTTTTGTCTAGTTTGATATTGATTGATTGATTGATTGATGAAGATTACGCCACCCAAGAAGTGACACGGGCATGAATAGCCCCGTAAGAGTTTGACATTAATTCACAATACCAAATATTGTAGATTAGTGTAAAATTCCTGGTGTTCACAACGCCAACGCCAGAAAAAATGTAAAATCTATTGCATTTACACACAAATTCACCATTTGTACCTAACATCAACAGTTCAATTGATCAGAACTTAGCTAAACATTCTCCAGAATGCTGCGCCCGTAGCCTCGCCTGAGCGCACAAAGATTGACTAGACCCACTCCACCTTGTTAGAGCACAGGTACTCGACCTATTGCGAGAGCGAGGTAGGAGCCCATCCTCACAGCCAAGCGTGGAGCAACAGCCCCCACGACTAACGGGTGAAACAGACCTGTATCAACTTGCGTCAGGTGTGGGGTCAAGGGTCACCTGATCCTGGTACGTAGTGTGACCAAAAGTAATCAGTGCATTGCGGGGAGGAGGAAAATGGAACAGAGGAGAGGGGGTGAAATAACTAAGCGAGTGAAGAGAAAGGAGGAGAGGGGAGAAGAGAAGAAACAGGGGTGTGGAAAACAAGGCGATGAGGAGAGAGAGGAAGAGAGAGAAAGAGAGAGATAAAAATCCAAAATAATTCTTCACATATGCGAAATCAAAAGCAAAAAACCACTGCCAGTATTAGACCTATTCGTACAAGTGAAGGTTCATACATGGAGGATGACAAAAGAAATTAGTAAAATCCTAAAAAAAAAGCAGTATGAGGACATGTATAACACTCCAATAAACAACAAGAAAGTGGAAGATCCAGTGGAAGAGAAAGTGGAGAGCTAGTGGTGTGAGGAGAAATAAACGAGAAAGGTGACCGAGAAGAGACGGGTTGCCGAAGACACTTTATCCGGATAGAAATAAAATGGAATGGAAGGGAGATAGTTTACGAGAGTCTAGTCTATGGGAGCAGTAGATATAGCAGGTGAAGGGAATAAAAGGGGAACGATGAAAGGATTAAGCCAGCTGGCCAGGAAGCCCCCCCCCCTCTCCGTCGGCGACACACGGTACGACAAGGGCCGGATGTATCGAGTTCGAAGCCTCGCCATCGGCCGTATCGGGTTCAATTCGATCAGTGACTCGTACTCAAGTTTCGTGTTGAGGTATTCAGGAAATTGATTCGGGAACATTGAGCCGCAGTCTCTGGCATGATTCTCAGAAGAATGGCTCCAGAGAGCAAGCGAGCTACCTGCTGAATGGGGGAAGAGGACCTCCCCAGCGACCAAAAACACGTCAGAGACCAAAGACGCCAGCGACCAAACACGCCAGAGACCAAAGACGCCAGCGACCAAAGACGCCAGCGACCAAAGACGCCAGAGACCAAAAACACGCCAGTGACCAAAGACGCCAGAGACCAAAAACACGCCAGTGACCAAAGACGCCAGAGACCAAAAACACGCCAGCGACCAAAGACGCCAGAGACCAAAAACACGCCATCGACCAAAGACGCCAGAGACCAAAGACGCCAGCGACCAAAGACGCCAGAGACCAAAAACACGCCAGCGACCAAAGACGCCAGAGACCAAACACGCCAGCGACCAAACCCACGCCAGCGACCAAACCCACGCCAGCGACCAAACCCACGCCAGCGACCAAACCCACGCCAGCGACCAAACCCACGCCAGCGACCAAACCCACGCCAGCGACCAAACCCACGCCAGCGACCAAACCCACGCCAGCGACCAAACCCACGCCAGCGACCATCTCGTAGCCTAAGAGGCCCACCAAGCAGGGTGTCGCAAGCCAGCCGACGAGACAGGCCTGGCCATCGCCGAGCGGCAGAAACCGCCAGATACACACACCGGCCGCTTCGTCCCAGGAGACTGTCCAACTCTAAGGTCGCGGCCAGCGGGCTGTGAGAACGCCAAAGGCAATTCTGAGGGGAATACGCCCGTAAACCCCTTGGGAAGACCTGGGTAGTAGTGGAGGGAGAGAGGGTGGAAGCTAGAGTCCGAGTTACCTTGATTGTGGAGAAATTGCTTTACCTGGAATTATATAAACTCTATATAAATGTGGTATTTTCCCTTGTAAATTGATGTAAATATGATCTTTATATTGTATATTATTTAATAAAGAAATGATAAAGATTTTTCTCTACCACCCACTGTCTCATAATTTTCTAAGAGAAGTGCCGGACCAACCGGGCTGTGGTGGGTATGTGGGCCTGCGGGCCGCTCCAAGCAACAGCCTGGTGGACCAAACTCTCACAAGTCAAGCCTGGCCTCGGGCCGGGCTTGGGGAGTAGAGGAACTCCCAGAACCCCATCAACCAGGCATCATAATCAGGCTCGACTGCTAGCAATACAGGCAGCAAGGTACTTACCTGTTTGATACCTGGTTGATGGGGTTCTGGGAGTTCTTCTACTCCCCAAGCCCGGCCCGAGGCCAGGCTTGACTTGTGAGAGTTTGGTCCACCAGGCTGTTGCTTGGAGCGGCCGGCAGGCCCACATATACCTGGTTGATGGGGTTCTGGGAGTTCTTCTACTCCCCATTGACTTGTGAGAGTTTGGTCCACCTGTAACACCCAGGACCTTCCCCCCCCCCCCCTTAGAGTTCACACCCAGGGAAGCCTTCTCCAAGAGGTCAGCCCAGATGACCTCCGGTTTATCTTGTATGTTGATTAAAAAAATAATTCCTGGGTTAGTCTTAGTCAGCATAGTTTCAAGTATGTAATATTTCATGCAAGGAAATTAGACTCCAGATTCTTATGTGTAAACATCCTTGGATCTCCCCCTTTTGGCCAGGTCAGAGGTCAGTCACATGTAAATAATAACTCCTCTCTTGAAGAGTGTATGGTGAATGTCAAACAAGCTTATTGAAATATTTCTTGAGTGTTTGTACATTCTTGGTGGGTAGCAACAGCAGATCTCCCCCTCCCCCTGTGGGGGTTGTATATAGAGGTCCTCTGGGGACTTAGGGAACGCAGAGTGCGGTACACCGGGATCGAGAGCGGGTCTGTGAAGAACATCTCAGCCAGGGAGAGACAGAGGTCTTAAGGTAATGTGTGTGATCTCTGAAGTTTTGTTCCATGTCCAAATTTCTTAACTTTGCCAGTGTTAGAGTAGGATTTATAAGTGGTGATTGACATAATTTTGGTCTCAATAAACTTTTGTTAAATTTCCCGTCTGTGTCAATTGTTGAATCCTCTTAGCCCTTTGGATATAGTGGCTGACAACCGTTTTCATAATTAATGACAGTCATAGAAAGTACTCTCCAAGTCAAGCAATGTTTCTTGCCTCGTTGCTTGATATAGTTTCAATGGTCAAAGGCAGATGGTGGCAGCGTATTTAATCCTTGTGTTAGCATTTCCTTATTGGCAGTGTACCTTTGGTTCCGGTGTAACCATCATATGTCAGCTCATAACAGTGTTATCAAGTGCAACCGATGAGGAAGTGTTACTCAGGATAAGTAGTGTTCCATTATAGTGGTGTTCCAGTATAGTGGTGCACTTTAGAGTGGTGTTACACTACAATTGTTGGTGTTACACACCAGGCTGTTGCTTGGAGCGGCCTGCAGGCCCACATACCCACATACAGTTGGGAGTCGAAATAGAGCATTCTGCTACCAGCGTGACAGCGTCACCCTACATGCAACATACAAGAGTGAGAGAGAGTGACAGAGACAGAGAGAGTGGGAGAGCATCTTTATACACCCTTAAACAACAGCTCGGGTACCCCAAGCCGTCTCAAATCG